TTAAATCTGACAATGCATCTGTAATATGGTTTGTTAGAGTTCGGCTAACGCATGTTTCTGTTGATGGATACAAATTCTGGCTTCCCAATAGATTACAACAAGAGCGATGAGAGAAAAAACTATGTGGACAAACCAGTCACTCTTTGTTCAATGCTAGTGCTGTATGTTGGAATAACTGTCATTTATGCCGTCATCACGTGTTGATAGCGCAGGTGAGACCTAAACAGCACATGTTGCTATCTGTTTAAACTAAACTCATTTAAGCCTTGCCAGTTTAAATATTAAAGAGCCAGAAGACGTGAACTTGCGCGCGCAGTGAGAAGATGTGTGTGTGCTCATCCGAAGCGCGTGAACCCGCATCTCAGAACGCGTGCAAATATTACGTTTTCTGTGAAGTATTGTGCTTGAATGGACAAATTCACACAAAAATTATGTCAAAATGCTGTCTTGGTGAGTATCCTAGCAGACATAGTCAGCTGAACGTACAGTATCAGTGCGTTCTCTTAAAGTGACAGCACTTTCTTAATGTTAATCAAACAGCATCAACACTGAAATCTCTCACTGCTCTTGATTGAATAACTTTTGTAACTTTAATAAGGATTCATCTTTAATTTATACAGTCAAATATGCAATGTTATTTTACATTTGATTACTTTATTCAATTTCTGTACCTAAAAACTAATGTTAGACCTACCTAAAAACCTGAAAAGCACATTTTATTTGTATCTTTGCTCTATTTTATTGTTTGTGCTGTTGCTAGTTAGATTAGATTAGTGTTTTTATTTTCTTTATTTTTATTTGACAATATAGTTTGTCCGAACTGTACCAAAACCGTGACTCTAAAACCGTGATACAAACTGAACCGTGAGTAAGTTGAACCGTTGCACCCCTAGTGCACATACACACATAAGGAAAGAGAGCGCGAGTGTCACATACACACACACACACTCATGGTCTCTCCGTACAACACTCAAACAGTAGCAAAGTTTGTTTTTTGTTTTTTAAATGCGTGATTTTGAACAGACGTAAACAATGGCAGGAGGCTTAAAAGTATAGACGTGATACCAGCTAAATTTAATTATTGTACTAAATCGCAGAAAAGTACAGTACATATTTTAGACTGGTATTCCTCACTCTGCATGCATTAGGACTTGCGTTTACTGACCTAATAAACTCTTTTGGAGTCAAGCATCATATAATAATTGCTGTTAATATTGTTCATCGTCTGTTTTATTACGTCTTATATTGATTTTTCCGTTCTGCTGGTTCGTCTGGTCAGAGGAGAACTGGCCCCCCGACTGAGCCTGGTTTCTCCCAAGGTTTTTTCTCCATTCTGTCACCGATGGAGTTTTGGTTCCTTGCCGCTGTCGCCTCTGGCTTGCTTAGTTGGGGACACTTCATTTCCAGCGTTATCGTTGACATGATTGCAAAGATATTATTTAAACTGAGCTGGATGTTGACATCACTGAATTCAATGATGAACTGTCTTTAACTGAAAAATTTGTGTTTACTAAATTTGTCATTTTTCATTATTGACACTATTTTCCTAATTAATGCTGTTCAGTTGCTTTGTCACAATCTGTATTGTTAAAAGCGCTATATAAATAAAGGTGACTTGACTTGACTTGACTCTGTGAAGTAATGTGAGGGAGGAAACTAGTTGACGTTAGCTAGTTAATTAGCCATGTTATCTGCCTCGGTAGCAAGCCAAATAGTATTTATTTCAACACTGAAACAAATGGTGGGTGGGTCTCTGTCTTGATCGGTGGTGAAAGAGGGAGAAATGAAGATGACACAGATATATAGTTTATGTTCGACCTGGAAGTATTTATTTAGCGATTGGCGCTAAAACGTCATCTGTACGGAACATCGTTTTGTACGGAACATGGTTAGTCTACGTTATCTGAAAAATTCCCATACGACAGACTTCGTCTTTTTCGACGGGGGAAAAAGTTCCAGGGATTCCTCTCCTTCGGCCATCCTACACACAGGTGGCTCTGACCGCTCGCACCGACCGGAGGGGGAGGGGTAGTGTGACTTGCTACGCTCTTCGCTGCACACACCTGAGGGAGTCCTGCACTTTCCGTCTTTGACGACACGTAAAAAAACTGAGCATACCGCAGGAACGGTATAACGGGAAAATTTTGTGGTTTTGAAACCGTGACTTAACCGCGGTATACCTTGAAACCGGTTATCGTCCCATGCCTAAATGGCACATATTGAAATTCTATAAATAAACACATTTATAAATGGAAATAAATTGAAATTACAACATCGAAAATAAATAGTTTTAGATGCTACAAGTGAATTAATGCATTCCAACGTTAGTATGAAAAAAATCAATTCAATATTATTTTTATATTTGCTAAAGATTAAATGTACCTTTAAATTATTAATGTAACTAAGTTTTTTAATTAAACTGTATTTTTAAAGATTTGCTTTAAGTGAGCATCAGATGATGGCTATAGTAATCTAAATATAAAAGTGGGAGAAATTAGCATGCACGATTAAATATTGGGCAATATATGTAAAATATAGACTGATAACGATGTATTTTAAAAACAATCTTTCATGTTAAATGATAACCAATAACCCATTATCTGATGGCCTATAATAAATTAATGTCCCTTATTGAAATTCTATTAATAAATACATTTATAAATGTAAATACATTAAAAATAAAAACATTGAAAATGAATTGTTTAGATGCTACAAGTGAATTTATGGTTGAATATAATTTTTTACATTTGCTAAAGATTACATTTAAAAGCTTAATTGAATTATTATTGTAACTACATTTTAATATTAAACTATTTTTACTTTAAGAGAGCATTAGAAAGTAATCTAAATATAAAAGTAGGAGAAATTAACATGCACAATTAAATATTGGGCAATATATGTAATATATATATATATATATTTTTTTTTTTCAAAAACATTGAAAATGAATTGTTTAGATGCTACAAGTGAATTTATGGTTGAATATAATTTTTTACATTTGCTAAAGATTACATTTAAAAGCTTAATTGAATTATTATTGTAACTACATTTTAATATTAAACTATTTTTACTTTAAGAGAGCATTAGAAAGTAAGCTAAATATAAAAGTAGGAGAAATTAACATGCACAATTAAATATTGGGCAATATATGTAATATATATATATATATATTTATTTTTTTCTTCATATTAACTGATAACCAATATCTTTTGGATATATCATGCATCCTGAGAAAATACACAGTTTCAAAAGTAGATATAAGATTTTATACATATTAACATGAGACTAGTGCGAGTTAATCAATGAAAATGTGTAGTTTTATCCAATCTTGTAATTTTAACATCAAAAGCACATAGCTATTGCCGGGCACTTTAATGCAAGACAGTGCAAACTTGAAGAATTACACCAATAATTGATAGAACATCAACCTAGAAAACTGTCTAACTTCATAAAGATAATTTACAAGTTTACAGCTCCAATAATAAACAGGTTGTCACTGAATAATTCACTACTGCTTTTAAAGTTGGATATACTTGGATACAACTGCCTGATTGCTTGTATTGTTGCAAAATGTAAACAATAATATACAGTGCATTATAAGATTTTATAAACATTAATACAACAACAAACAAAGACAAGCTTCCAGATTTCTGCTTTTACAATGGAAGTGTTGCTCCATAGACTTATATTGTCTATACTGTCTTCACTGTAACCACAAATTTTGCCTTAAAAAAAAATTATCTGCGATAATCACATCATACTACAGATGCATGAACTTGCATTGAGTGAGAAACAGTCCTCAGATCTCAAGCATCTGATCGATAGACTGACCTCAGAGCCGTTCAACCACATGTTGAAGCATTCATCAAGCAATAACTGCACATTGTTTCAAAAAGAACTGAGAATCGACTACAACTATGACCCTGTAAGCAACGATTGGATTGTTGATCCAACGGCCACAGTAATCGATTTCCATTTCGAGGAGCCGCCGTCTCGCAGTGACACTGGGCTTAATGAGACACATCCAGACAAACCGGGGCACTGGAGGCCACACTCTTCATTAACACCTCTCAAAGCTGGGTTTCTTAAAGGGATAGTTCACCAAAAATGAAAAAGTACTCACCCTCAGGTCACCCAAGATGAAGATGAGTTTGTTTCTTCATCAGAACAGATTTGGAGAAATGTATCACTATATCACTTGCTCGCCAATGGATCCTCTGCAGTGAATGGGTGCCGTCAGAATGAGAGTCCAAACAGCTGATAAAAACATCACAATAATCTACAAGTAATTCACAAAATTCCATAAGTGAAAAGCTGCATGTTTGTAAGACTCACTTCACTTCAAACCATTTCTTATGGCTAAAATACGAGTCCATAATGCATAATATTGTTTTCTCCAGTGAAAAAGTCATCTCTTCTGAATCAGGAGAGAAATATACACAGATCAAGCAGCGTTTACAAGCCAGAATGGTTCAAAACAAATATGTAGGTGGATTTTGATGTGAGAGGATAACAGGAGATGGACTTTTTCACTGGATTAACCAATATTATGGATTATGGAGTCTTTTAGCCAGAAGCAATGGTTTAAAGTTAAATGGATTGGTTTCTTACAAACAAAAAGCTTTTGGCTTCTCAAGATGTTAATTAATGGTCTGGTTTTATCAGCTCTTTGGACTCTCATTCTGATGGCACCCATTCACTGCAGAGCATCCATTGGTGAGCAAGTGAAGCAATGCTACATTTCTCCAAATCTGATGAAGAAACAAACTCATCTACATCTTGAATTGCCTGAGGGTGAGAACATTTTCAGCAAATTTTTATTTTTGGGTGAACTGTTCCTTTAATTTATTTATATATTTCGGTACTCTTAAGCGAGGCCTTCTGACAGTATTCAATCTTAATATTTGGCCAATATTAAGGAGGTACTCACGGCTGGCAGAGCTTGACCAGGTCATGGTCGGTGGTGGTTGGTGGTAAACCACGGATGTAGAGGTTCGTTTTACTGAGCTGCTCCCAGCCGGCTGTGCTGCTGCTGCTGCTGTGATTGGTGCTGCTGTTGGTTCCAGGACTGGGCGGAGCCATCGGGTAGGAGGTGGGGCCAACAGGAGGCTGGAGGGAAGGACACAAAACAAACTGCGGTCAGAGTGGAACAAGGTCAAAGCAAACAGGGAAGCAAAAAGTAAACATTGGTAAAAGAAGCCATAAGTAAGTATACTGGACAGAAAAAAACAGACTACTAATCCAGAAAGCAGATGCCTCTTCACCAGTAACAGTGGCATGTTTGACCAAGATCCATCATGAGCAATTTTACATCAGAGTATATTAAATATATAAATTACAATATATGTATTTTGCTCAAAATTAAATGGAAATACATGCCTCAATTTATTAAACATTTCCTTACATTTTAAACAGATCGCAATATAGCCTAAATCACAATGTACAGTATATGCTTTGCTTGAAATTCAATGAAAAACATGCCTCATTTTAATAAATATTTTCTCAAATATTATGAAAATCCAATGCAAAATAACAAAATATGTAAAACAGCTGAAATGCATAACAATTGAAATGCATGCAAAATACATGTTGAAAATATGCCTAATTTTAATAAACATTTCCCAAACTTTTGCAGAAAATCAAATCCAAAATAAAATGTATAAAACAGTTGAAATATGTATGTAAAAATACTTCATCATAGGGCTGCACAATTAATCAAATTTCTAATCGTGATTACAATTATGGATGCCACAATTAATCGTTTAAAGTCCACTTATGTTATTCTGCGTGCTTAAGATGTGTTTTTTTCTTTCTACAGGTTATTGTAAGAGTTTTTTCATTGTTTTAATTTTAGTTTTAATATAACATTATAATACCATGCATATTTTTAATTTTTTTATTATTTAAAGAAGAAACCAAACCAATGTATATATGACATTTGAGGCTTAGTACTATAGAAAAGCAATAAAAGTTTTTCAGTTAGTGTTAAAAATAATCGTAATTAATAATCGCAATTACAATTTTAAGGGAGTAATCAACAGTTATGATTTTTGTCATAATCGTGCAGCCCTACTTCATCAGTAATTTTACATCACAATGAATTAAAGATATATAATCACAATATATGTTTGCTTAAAATGTAATTAAAAATATGCCTCATTTTAATAAACAGTTTCCTACATTTTGAACAGAATCAAACGCAAAACAATGAAATGTGTAAAATAGCTAAAATGTGTAATTATTTGATGTTAAAATACTTAGTCATTTTAAATTACAGTAAATTAAATGCATATAATCACAGTGTGTTTTGCTTGAAATTCTATTAAACAAACTTTTTTTACAAAACATTAATCACAATAAATGTGTTTTGACTTAAATTCAAATGACAAATGTGCTTCAATCTAACTAACATTTCCCAAATTATGAACAGATCACAATATAAATCACAACATACATGTTTTTCTTAAAAATCAGTTTTAAAAATATCTCCCCAAATTTTGCAGAAAATCAAACACAAAATGTATAAAACAGCTTAAATGTGTTTAAAATACTTTCTCAGGAAATACTTCTTAATTTGAATAAACAATTTCAAAAAAACAGACTACTAATCCAGAAAGCAGATGCCTCTTCACCAGTAACAGTGGCATGTTTGACCAAGATCCATCATGAGCAATTTTACATCAGAGTATATTAAATATATAAATTACAATATATGTATTTTGCTCAAAATTAAATGGAAATACATGCCTCAATTTATTAAACATTTCCTTACATTTTAAACAGATCGCAATATAGCCTAAATCACAATGTACAGTATATGCTTTGCTTGAAATTCAATGAAAAACATGCCTCATTTTAATAAATATTTTCTCAAATATTATGAAAATCCAATGCAAAATAACAAAATATGTAAAACAGCTGAAATGCATAACAATTGAAATGCATGCAAAATACATGTTGAAAATATGCCTAATTTTAATAAACATTTCCCAAACTTTTGCAGAAAATCAAATCCAAAATAAAATGTATAAAACAGTTGAAATATGTATGTAAAAATACTTCATCATAGGGCTGCACAATTAATCAAATTTCTAATCGTGATTACAATTATGGATGCCACAATTAATCGTTTAAAGTCCACTTATGTTATTCTGCGTGCTTAAGATGTGTTTTTTTCTTTCTACAGGTTATCGTAAGAGTTTTTTCATTGTTTTAATTTTAGTTTTAATATAACATTATAATACCATGCATATTTTTAATTTTTTTATTATTTAAAGAAGAAACCAAACCAATGTATATATGACATTTGAGGCTTAGTACTATAGAAAAGCAATAAAAGTTTTTCAGTTAGTGTTAAAAATAATCGTAATTAATAATCGCAATTACAATTTTAAGGGAGTAATCAACAGTTATGATTTTTGTCATAATCGTGCAGCCCTACTTCATCAGTAATTTTACATCACAATGAATTAAAGATATATAATCACAATATATGTTTGCTTAAAATGTAATTAAAAATATGCCTCATTTTAATAAACAGTTTCCTACATTTTGAACAGAATCAAACGCAAAACAATGAAATGTGTAAAATAGCTAAAATGTGTAATTATTTGATGTTAAAATACTTAGTCATTTTAAATTACAGTAAATTAAATGCATATAATCACAGTGTGTTTTGCTTGAAATTCTATTAAACAAACTTTTTTTTTTTGTTTAAAAAACATTAATCACAATAAATGTGTTTTGACTTAAATTCAAATGACAAATGTGCTTCAATCTAACTAACATTTCCCAAATTATGAACAGATCACAATATAAATCACAACATACATGTTTTTCTTAAAAATCAGTTTTAAAAATATCTCCCCAAATTTTGCAGAAAATCAAACACAAAATGTATAAAACAGCTTAAATGTGTTTAAAATACTTTCTCAGGAAATACTTCTTAATTTGAATAAACAATTTCCTACATTTTGAACAGAATCAAATACAAAATGTGTAAAATAGCTCAAATGTGTTTTAGTCATCATTACTGAAAACCACACATGATTCCCAAAACATCATTGCACACCCATGAGCCCAGCTGCATAACAAGAGACACATTTACATTTGTTAGTGAACCGCTGAGACTCTGGCGACACACTTTGTGAAACTGGGATTGTCCCAGGTAAACCGGGACGTCTGGTCACCCTATTATGCGATGAGATTATGAGTTATCAGATGAACAAGAGTGCCAAACCTTCTTCTTAAACCGTTTCTGCACATTTTAATGCAAATGTTAGCAGTCTAGGCCAATTAACAACCCTAACAAAGAGCAACTCCAAATCTAATCAGCAAGAACAAACACCTAACATCAGCTTTATCTGAGGACTTATGCAGAAAATAGAATAATGTGAGCAAAACAGGAAAGCAGAGTGGTAACTTTGGCAAGGGAAGATATCTTATGCACACATTTTGTAAAGATTGCAAAACATGTCAAATATAAAATATGTCTGTTCTGACCCACCAACAGAGTACGTTTCGTTTTGCATATGCTTTTCAATAACCATAATCATTAATAATTAATTTTATGAATAACACCATTTGGGTTTCAGTTTTTGGCCAAATAAAAATGGCAATTTTGCCTCTGGTAAAAAAATTATTTCAATGCATCATTACAAATAAGTGTTGCTTTTACAAATTCTACAACCCTTCAAAAATCTGCAAAAACAAACACCATGCATAAGTTTCATCTGAGAACTTATACAGAAAACAGAAGATCAGAAGCATTTTTAGGCCCCTCACAGCTGGATTTGAAACAATTCTTGATACATTTCAAATTTTCAGCAACAGTGCATGCATGCATACAAATCTTTGGCAAGTTAATGTACGATCTTTCCCTCCACCCCTATAGTGTAGAGGATCTGTTTCCTGAACCTCCTCAGCTCTGATGCTACACTGCTCGTGTTTGTCAGTGCGAGGATGAGTATCTGGCAGCGCTGTGATCCATATCTGCAGTGCAGTCTCTTCTTCTTCAGAAAGCAGTTGTCAGCATAAAGTGGGTCCACAGGGGCCGGAAGCTCTGACCTAGGAGCACGGCTGATGGAGAGGACGCTTCGGGAATCTAAAGGAAGTGAATGCGGCACGGGAGGCCGAGGGGTGAGCGCTGAACATTTCTATGTGCTGAACCCTTTTGTTAAAGCTTTGTTCTTAAGACGAGCTTGATATGCCATCTGTCTAGGGACTGCAGGTGAAAAATAGCCTTCTGGCTAATTCTGGCATATTGACAGAAATGTTTATTAATATGCATTGTCCCTGTAATAAATAAATAAATAAATGCAACAGACCTCAATGCAGGTGAATCCTGCTTGTTTTATAGAATTGAACATAGGTAGATCTGCAACAATTTCAAGAAGATCAATCATCATACATATGGTAAAAACTCATTCTAATTTGCACGCACAAAGAGCCTATCTGCATTTTATGTCATTTTGGGATGGGTTGAATTTTGCGAAACGCTACACCGTTTGAACTAGAGACTTACAATTTCAGAAAGAAGTCTCATTTCTCACGGGAAACAAATATGCCTCAAGGACTCTTGTGATATGAAATCAAAATATTCCCAGTATTTCACATTAGAGGTAAAACCTTTAAAAATGATTTTCTCTTCTTTACACATCATTGTTGGATTTATCTTTTATGCACATTTTAAACGGACTTGTTGAGAAAAATATACTCCTTTTATTTGACATGATATTCCAATGCTGTGAATATCACATTTTCACTTGTCCCACGAACATGTCGCCTTTCCATCCACAAGAACCAAACTGCAACTCTATGAGGAACTGATAATAATAACCATTTCCTGAAGGGACGACCACCAGAAAAAGCCTAAAATCATCCACTTGAGTCTTTCTCAATCAGAAGTTTTAATAAAACTGATGCAATACCGAAAGATTATTTTTGATGAAAGTGATGTAATACAGCACGGCTGCTGTGAATGTACAACTCTAATGATTCAAAATAAAGTCTACAAAAGTCTATAAGTACTATAATCAAGTTGCAAAAGACAAGCTTGATATAGTGAAAAAAGTATTACCTTTGGAAACAGCTTGCAAAATTTGAAAAGA